GGGGAAGGGCAGGAAAAAGTGGCCTCGGAGTAAAGGAATTCCAGGAAGAGGAAATGAGCAAAATCAAGACAGTCTGGCCTATTTCAGGAACTATAATGAGTCTGATATTACTAAAGTATAAAAAGGAAAAGTGATGAAAGATGATGTTGGAGGAAAAGAAATGAGGGCAAGATCATATATGATACGTGCAACAATGTGTCATCTACCCAAGATTATCAGGGAGCAAATATGAGGTTTAAATTGAATAGCTCCAGGCTGGAAACCCAACTCCATCATTTGGTTTATGGATCTCTGAACTTCCACATCCTCATTTATAACAAGGAACGTACCATAAACCTACATCAGAGAACTGCTCTGGGGACAGAAGAAAACATATTTAAGTGATAGAAGTGGGCCTGACACACTTTATGTCCTATAAATGTCATGGATAGATTTGTGCTATTATGATCATTGGTAAAGTTTTTTCCACATTTCTAAATATGCCACATAATCATAGCTAATTTTCTTAAACATCAAAGCTTCTTAAATTGTTGTTTTCCTAATCTATTGTTTCAAAGTAAACTCCACAAATCTCTAACTTAGAAACACCAAATTTACAGCTCACATACACGAAAGCTGCACCTACCTCGCACCTACCTCTCACCCCATCTGCCCCTAATGCCCTTCTGTTGCCACCAGGGCAGCTGTGACAACATCTGAAGCTTTTAACATCCATGGATTGAAAAGTAGGGAAAGAAAAGAAGCCATGTGAAGACGGAACAGCTTATAGCAGTATTTTGTTGAGAATTTGGACACAGTTACCACCCATTGAGTTAACAAAATTTTTTTAAAAAATCACTTTCCTGAATTATCCCTAATTCCCTGTCCCCAGATCTACTGGTAACAGTAATGTGCTGTTCCTGCTGACAGCTGACAGTCAGTACCCGCTGAATAGTTGAATGTTAGTCCATTTCTCATCAGCCATCACTTAAATACATTCAGAGACTGGGACCTGGACCTGGCTTCTTCTTACCTCCCAACCTTTCTACCAAGGTTTCCGTGGGTGACCTGATAACTTTCCACACAGGTAATGTGCCAGCATTTCCAAACCTCTCTGCCTTCACCCTTGCTGTTCTCTCTGCCTGGAACACCCTTTCACCCTCACCTCTTAACACTATCCTTATAAGGCTTAGGATAAACACCACCTCCTCTCTGAACTCTCAGTTCCCTTCCCTGGAGAATTAAATGGCATGTTCTACGAACTTGCCCAGCACTTGGCTCACATTTCTATGGCTACAGTGGCCCTGTATCACACAGAGATGCAACAAGTACCACTCTAGGTGCTTTCTGTATGCTTTCAAGTGGCTTTATTACAAACCCCACTTTGTAAATGGAAAATCCACACTCTGAGAGTTGAACTCACCAATGATCATATAACTAGAAAGGGACACGACCAGAAATCCAACCATGATCTAACAGTTCTCTAAGTATTTCACTCTGCCATGCTGCCTTTCTTTGATGGCCTATTTCCACTTGATTAAATATATAACCAATATATAATCCCAATATGGGATTATAGTAAATCTCATTGGACTATTGTAAATCCTTTGGTGGCAGAGACTAGGGCATGTCTATCTTTGTAAATGTGGATAATACCCGTTTATGCAAAGTTCTTGTGGAGATTAAATGTGACAATACATATAAGCACTTACAGTGCCAGACAGATAGTAAGTCCTAAACAATTTGTGGCTTTCACTGTTGCCATTGTTGTTGCCATGTCTGATGCCAAAAATAAAGCCTTGCAAATATACTCAAGCTGAGGTTCCTCTCTGAGGAGGAGAAATGGGTAAGGGTTTAATGGGATAAGCAAACGGTGCTTTGATTTGGCATTTCCCACACTACTTGACTACTCGATCTGAAGCAACAAGAGATATGAAAGCTTTGCTTTAGAGTTAACTGATGCCTTAATCTTTCTATCACTATGTGAATACTAGGCAAACTTCCTATCTAGTTCCAAACCCTTGCAGCTTTGTGACTTTCTTACTGCCATTTCTTATGCAGTCTGCTAGGTTCTCATCTGAAAAGTCAATACATAGGTTCTGGGCTAGAAGAAGAAGAAAATCACAGATTTAAATGGAAGTACAAATGGCAAAATGAAATCTGAAGGGGATAGGGTGTAGTTCAAGGGCAGAGCACTTGTCTAGCATGTATGAGACCCTGGGACTGATCCCCAGCATTGCAAAAAAAATTATAAATTTAAATCTGAAATCCTGGCAAAAACACTCTTTTGTCTTCATAACATTAAGAAATACTTCAACTCCCCATGCGTGTTTGTTTGTTTTTGTCGATCAGCCCCTAGTTAGACCGAAGCTCACTTAGTGGGGGCAGTCTTCCATCCATACACTCCTATCCTCCCTGCCTAACACATATATAGCATGATCTGATCACTTAAACTGATCGATAACTGAAGTATTTCTGTGTGTGTGTGTTTGCATCCACACACCTATATATGTGTACATACACATGACATCATTGCACAATTTATAAATAAATGTTCATCTATCTCCACACATACACATTGTATAATTGTTTACATATATTTCTATTTGTGCAGATATTTCAAACTAGAGAAAGATATTCATTTGCCAAAGTTATACCTTAATATAATAAATGCTTCTGGCTGACCTGTGTGATACTTAATAGACATATACTACAACCCATATGCTAGTATTTCAGCTGTTTAAAAGAATGAATCTCAATAAGTATTCAAAGTAAAACAAATATGAAACTTATCTCTCAAAACTCCTATCTCTGTTAATTAAGTGATGTGACTAGGTAGGGTAGGTATGGACAGATATTGTTTCTCTATAAATTCGACAGGCAAAATATTCCAAATTCTTATGAAAACGCCAGATGTCCTTATTTAGGTTGTAACATACACTGGAAATTTTAATGATTATTAAGACAAACATTTTCTGGGTACAATGTACTGGACACTTGGCATCAACTGTTTTTTTTTTTTTTTAAACCTTATGACAACCCTGCAAGGCAGATGTCATTATCCCTATTTTATAGACAACAAAGCTAAGACTCAAAGAGAGGGTAACTTGCCAAAGATATTCTGCATTTTATCATGTCCTGGCACAGGCAATGTACAAATTCAGGATTCTAACCTGAAGCTCAGATTCTTTCCAATAGGCAATAGTGTCTCTTTCATAGTTTTACAGACACTAATTTTGAGAGATGTGTTTTTAGGTAGTTTTTATAGTGTTGAATTTTAATAAGTAATTCTCCGCATCTAGAAACCAGACTAAATGACGAACACTGAAGATTACTCCAGGCTAAAGACAGCAAGGATCAAATGTGTCTCAGCAACCATCAGTCTGTATTTATCAGAATAGAAAGCCTTTTCCACTTAATTGTGTCCTCTAAAAAGAGTCTATTCTCGAACAGAGCTTCATTATTTCTCCTTCTATATATAAAGAAAATGGGCCCTTTCATTGCAAACCAATGGGAAGTTCTTAACTCATTTCTGTATATTACTTGGAATAAAGTGCTTCCTGTCTTCAGAGAAAAGAATTGCTAGGTGCTATGCCTTTTGCCTGCTTCTCAGTCCAACAATCAATATTGTGAAGGCGAGAGAAAATTAACCCTGATGTACTTTTAAGGAGAGTGGGGTTATTTTTTAAAACTGAATGATGGTAAAGTTACAAAGGGAAAGGAGTCTTCCTTCCCATTTAAGGAAAACTCAGCTGCCTTCCTCTGGAAGAAATGGCTATATCATCTCTCTGACCTTTCCAGGAGCAGGCCTGAGACAGAGAGAAACCATATATTGTAAAAGTTTTTTTTAAAATGTATAGACGCTTCTGGACATTTGTCAGTAATGCAGTGAAAAATGTTTACATTGGCTCTCACCTGGCTAGAACCATCCTCTGAAGAGCAGAGGAAAGCCCTCCTCACTCAGACCCGCACAATCATAAGAGCCAACTTCAGCATCTTCAGCCCTAGGGACTGAAGGGGAAAGGGACCCCTCCCAGTGATTGAAGCAGTTTGTTCCCTCTGCTGGGGAAGACAGAAGCAGGCAGCTCTGTCTTTTCTTTCATCTAGCTAGCTACATTATTCCTGCTGCCAGGAACTTATTTTCAGAGCCTTACACTAAAATTCCCCCAAAGGAGGGGAAACTACTAGGCACACAGAGTGCTGATTTCCAACCTGGTTTGGTCTTTTGTTTTCTGATTTCAAGTCCCTATCTAAAGTACATCTCCCATCTTCCAGAAGTATCCACATGTCTAAGCCAAGAAAAGGAGCTGGGAGCTTTGAAGCTTTAAAGTGCTGAAAATTTCAGCACTCACTCTTCAAAGATAATGACCTTGGGTAACTCATCCTTCCAAAGAATCAGTTTGTGGTCTCCATAAGAGGTGAAAATATCCGTTATTTAGAAAGTTGTTGAGATTTCAACATAACAATTGCACAGTTCTGGCTCTTAGTAGGAGGTCAGCAAGTGCTCTGTATTTGCCCTGGGTACACTGCGCAAAGAAAGGGGAACCTAGTGGGTGTCCATGTTTTCACTGTCCAAGGTTTGCCCATCACTCTGCATTGATTTATGCCACGAATTGCTCACCTAACCTTGGGAAGACACTTCTTACCTGCTTCTAGTTCGCTTTAGCTTCAAATATCTTCAGAGCCCAAGAAATAAATTCTTATTAAGTACAAAGGACTAAGTTATCCTAGGTCGTCCTTCCCACCAGTTATGGGCAATTGTTACAACTCAGTCTTGGGAAGAAATGAGTATAGTCTTTACATAGGCAAAGCAGGTGTCTGTACCTCTCTTGGGGTAAGGGGTGGGAAATAGACCCTACCTAGTCTCCAAGTCGGGAACAGCACAAAGGGGATTGGAACAAGAAAGCCTGGATGAAAGGGAAGCCTCTGCCAGACGGTCCTTGTCGGGGACCCTGTCCTCAGCGCACCGGGAGGAAAGGACGCTAGAGGGGAGGAGCCCCAAGGGCAGGAGTACCTGAAGACTCTGGCTGCTGTCTGGTTCCTCCTCCACGCTGTGCCCTGTTGCAGCACCCCCTGCACGATCTCCTTTTCGTTGGGCAGCCGGTAGACTGGGAAGATGTAGAGCCAACAGAGGACCACAACGCAGAGGGCACTGGCTCCCACCGGCAGCCGGGTACGCGGGAACTTCCACGCCAGTATGGCCATGGCCCCTCTGGATGTGTGTCGCCGGGCCTGCCCGCAGGGGTTCATCGCAGCCCCGGCGTCCCAAGGATGGGGGCCGGAGCCTCAGTATAACGTTAGGCACAGTGGCAGCGGAGGGTGCCCCCACCGCCGGCCCCCCATGCACACACACCTTTTGCTTTCTTGCTTGCACAGGCACGCACACTGCTTCGGCCCCCACGGCCCCAAAGGTCAGCACAAGGATTTCTGATAATGCAACTTTTTCCAGTATTTCTTTCTACGGGAAGTGGCCGGCAGATAAGTCACGAGCTACAGTCATGGTCGTTCCCCGCAGAAGGCGGGCGCTGGGGGTCTCCAAGAACCGAGAGAGCGGCGGCAGCGAGTCGCTCCTACCAGTTCTATAGCATCACAGTAGCCCTACGCGAGGGTCCGAGAAAAGGCGCGGCTGGCTCTCAGACATTTGGCTCGCAGCGGCGTCCCCTTCTGAGAGATGCTCCTTCGCCCTTCGCCGCCTCTCCCCGCCTCCTGCGCTGCTGCGCCGCCAGGCACCCCCCCAGACGCGCTCTCCGCGCCGCGCCAAGTCCTTGGAAATTTCCACCTCGGCCCGGGACCGCTATCCTGCCCCTGGCTTCTCGTCCTCACCCGCCAGGACCCTCGCTCCCCACCCCTCCCGGAGAAGAAAAGAACTCGGTCTCATCAGTTAATTCAGCCGCGCGCCGCAGCCTTCCGCTGCGCCCCGGACTTCGCAGACAAACGCCCCGGGATTGGTGGAAATCAAGGTCTCCCCCGCCCTCCCCCACCCGCAAAATTGCCTCCTTCGACCAGTTCAGATCCGCGAAGCTCGCCCAGCGCGCGCACCCTTCTCTCTTGCCCTTGTTCTCTGGAGATAGAGGCAGACAATAAAAACAGCAGCTCCCTTAAAAATACATATATATTCCCCGAGTGTGGCAGAAACTGGCTGACATTCCCAGCCCTTCGATGCGCGGCTACTGGGTCGGGGCTGCTGCTGTCACCCTTCTGTAAGTGGTTGGTTATTGACCCGCAGCGAGTCGCGCGGAAGCCAGAGGAGATTTATTCCTTCCTGGGCCCCTAACCCCATTAACCGGTCCCGTAGCCGCAGATCTAGCAGACATCCCAATTTCCGTGCGCGCTTGCGCGCGGGGACACACACACACACACACACACACGAAGACACACTCCCCACTCCCGATGCTCACGGGCGCGAGCGAGCGCGCGCATATGGAGGTGCGTGCACACCCGGTGCTCGCCTCGGCCCTGCAGGGAAAGACATTGCTGCATCCAGATAAGCAGGCGGCTCGTGCCCTCGCACGCAGACCTCGGACGTGAAATGCCTCGGAGGAGGGTTCCCTTCCTCGGTCTTGTAGATTAAAGGACTGTTTATTCTTAGCAGTGCTTCTCGCTCCCCGAATAAGCTTCACGGCTCCCTAGACCTTGGAAGAGTGCCTCTCGCCTGGACCTGCCTAGCCCAGAGAGCCAGTATTGGCCATTTCTGCTCTTCGGAACCGCAAACACATATCTCGGGTACCTCCTAGCGGTTGCCTATTCTATTTGCTTAAGCATCTTGTCAAGCATAAAATGTGCAAGGACAAAGAAGAAACTCTGCAGCCAGCGCACCCGGTCAGCTTAGTCATCGCGAAACCAAAATGCAAGGCCGTATTCCATTTGCTGAGCTGATGAAGCTCCAGTGCCTGGGACAGCCTACACTGACTGCTAGGCGGCCTGGGCTCTTTTTCTAGCATCTTTCTCAACCAAGAGGTGGAACTTGAGAACTTGGTGCAAAGTTATTTACCAAACACGAAGTAGGATACCAAATGACTGTCGTGTCATTCCCTCAACACTACTGTGCTCTCTTAAGACAATGACCCACTGCCCTCCATTGGCAAGCATGTCCCAGAAATCTCTCTCCTACGTAGGTCAATCCATAGTCACAAGAGAAATCTTGAAATCCCAAAGCTACATCTTACCACAGTGGAGCTTAAGAGATTCTTTCAAATGAAGATCACCTCAAGTCCTACAAAGTAACCAGCCAGCCCTCTTTAGTTCTAGAGAGGAAGAAGGGGGAATAAGGGAAACTTCTTCAGTTGCCAGAACTTGGATAAATCACTCACCACTTTTCCCCCTATATTTTATATAAAACACAAGCCATCCCAATTTCTCTTTTCTTCCCAAGTCCAAAGGATACTTGTGAAGTAAATAAAACAAGCCAACAAACGAAAATAAGATATATTACATTTATAAAGGTTATAATAATAATTGTGTTGAATGGGGAAATATTTATGTGGCAATTAAATGCAATGTGCTGTTTTCCTTTCTTGTTGACTCTTGCCCTTCTTTGCAGTTCAAATATATTCCCTGATTTTCCTTAGCATGTGGCATGGATTGGCTGTGAAGTGTCCCCCCAAAGCTACTGTGTTAATGCAAGAATGTTCAGAGATGAAAGGATTAGATTATGAGAGCTGTGATCTAATCAGCTGATTAATTCATTTGATGGAAGTAAGTATGGCCCTTGGAGATTACATCTTGTCCCCTGGATTCCGCCCCCCCCCCCTCACGTGCTTCTGCTTTCTGGCTATCCTGACTGAACAACTTTCCTCCCCCATCTTCTTCCACCACCATGATGTTTTGCCTCATCTTGGACCCAGAGCGATGGAACTGAACCTGTGAAACTGAGTTCAAGGTAAATTTTTTTCTTCAAAAAGTTATTCTGGTTAGGTATTTTGGTTACAGCCATGGAAAGTTGACTAACACTGTATGAATGCCAAATTTAATCAGGCCATTCCCTTCACCCTTCTAAGTGCCAGAGGGATCACTTCTGTCACTATTGTAATCCATATGCCTGGAATGTATTTTTTCTCTCTCTCCATACAAATCCAATGCAACATTCAAGGCCAGGCCAGTTAGCCATGAATTTCTCATTCAGTGATGTGTTTCCAGACCACCTAAACTACAGTTTCATGGGGTAGGAACTCAACAAACATGTGTAGTTTCTCCTCCTGTTTTCTTTGACCTCCTACTCTAAATGCATATAGAATTTGCTGACTCTGATAATTGATTAGACACTTAGATGAGTTGTGTTGTGTTGCAAGCATTTTTCATATGTAACTTTGCCTCAGCCACTGAGTAATAAGAGTATTTGATCTCAAATATCAAGTGACAAGCCTGTGTTTTTAATATAAATTAGGACACAACATGTCATATCTACATGTTTTGGGAAGAACAAGAACAATATTTTATTTTAGTTATGTTCCTCCAAGTACCAACTCAGACCTGACAACATAACATACTCAAAAATAATTGTTACTTGAGTGTATAAAATTTACAAGCTCAAATTTGCTTAGACCATTGATAATGCAGCACTGTTTAAGGCAAAGTGTTAAATACCCAAGTGTTAATATTTTAAATTAAATCTATTTACCTGACTTATATGACTTTTAGTAAATGGCTTTGGTATTCTTTTATACTTCTGCTGTAAATGCAGTTAGAGGACGCAAACAGGTTTTGCCCAGGGACTGAAAAGCACTTAAAATTATATCTAAGTGAGGGACTGGGGCTGTGGCTCAGCAGTAGTGCACTTACCTGGCATGTGTGAGGCACTATGTTCGATTCTCAACATCACATACAAATAAATAAAATAAATAAAGGTCAACAACTAAAAAATATTTTTTAAACAATAAATAAAGTTCTATCAACAACTAAAAAAGTATTTTTAAAAAAAACTGTGTAAGTGTTTATTAGAAAAATATAGGGGCTGGGGATGTGGCTCAAGCGGTAGCACGCTTGCCTGGCATGTGTGCGGCCCAGGTTGGATCCTCAGTATCACATACAAACAAAGATGTTGTGTCCGCTGAAAACTAAAGAAAATAAATATTAAAAAAATTCTATCTCTGTCCCTCTCTCTCTCTAAAAAAAAAAAAAAATAGAGGCAGAATCCCACAAAATGAGCCCAAGCTTTAGGATCAGACTAGACTGGCTCAAATTTCATTTCTGTCACTTACTAGCTCTGGGTTTTGAGCTATTAGAGAAACTCTGAGCTTTCTTTTCCCCACATTTGTAATAATAATAATATTCACTTTGTTCTTGTGAAATACACACCTAAATGATAATCAGCAGAAGTAATTCATGACTACTATCTTACTAATGTCCCCAAACTTCTTTTAGAACAATGTAAGAGTGGAAGGAAGAATATTCTAATGTATTTAGTCCTAACAAATACAATAATGTTGATATAAATGCTCCCTTGATAATATTGTATTATCACTATCTTGTCTACCACAAACATTCAGCAGCTCATAAAAGGTCCTACAAGCACTAAAGACTTTTCTCTCTTTGAAAAACTATTACTTGCCTTTGTAAGTAACCTATTGAACCAGTAAAAACGTGCTACTTTATTCTTTAGGTAAACTTGATGCGAGCTTTTGCAATATTAGAGTTGAGGCATCAGCCAGCATAAGAGGCAGAACCACTACAGAATTGTAACAGAGAGAAAGAAGCACTCATTGAGGTGAACAGAGAGACTGAAATGGAGAAAGCTGATCAGAGTGAATGTGACACAGTCATTTACAAGCTAGTTTGAGTACAAACATACGTGAAGACAAATATTAATAGTCACACAGAAAGAAGTCTCTCATTAAAAAAATAAGTAAAGCTGGATATGGTGGTATACACCTGTAATCTCAGTGGTTCAAGAGCCTGAGGCAGGATGATCACAAATTCAAAGCTAGCTTCAGCAATTTAGCGAGGTCCCAAGCAACTCAAAATAAAAAATAAAAAGGGCTGGGGATGTGCCTCAGTGGTTAAGCACCCCTGGGTTCAATCCCTAGCACACACACACAAAAAAATTTAAATTAAATTATCAATAACTTGAGATTAAAATTTTCTTGCCAAAATGAATTTTGGAATGGAGAGACAAAATCATGAAGTCATGACTTCCCAAATTAGTTAAAGCACCAGGGCAGAGAAAGTTGTAGATGGAGAAAAAATGAATATAGTTTATCTGAATAAATGTATTTGTTTATCTCCATCCACTATTAGGACCCTGCTAAAGACAGTAAAGGAGAAAAGAAGAATAAACTCACAAGAGCAAGAGACAAGGAAGGGATACAAAGGCAGACAACTGATATCAAAAAGTTCACAAACAGGAAAATGATTGAATGAGTGACGACTGCTTTATAGGAATGGAGAAAGCTCTGGGCCTTCTGGTGATGCTGTGCTTGTGTGCACACATGTGCATGCGGGTGCATATGTATATTTGCATGGGAGGGGGTGCCGGTGGGCCTATGAGCAAGTCAACAAGAGCCAAGCAAAATTGTACTACACAGCCTAGAAAGGCTTAGAAATTAGAGGCACTAGGGACTCTGCAGGTGGCAACAATGAATGAAACACAGTAAAAGTTTTGTTTGAAAGTCTTTAAAAAGAACCGAGAAGCTTCTAGATCTCATCCACCAATCTAGTTTGAAATAGGAAGTTAGCTCTCTAGAGAGATGTACCAGCACAAAAGAGAAGACCTACAGATTCATCCCTGTTGTATCCCTGCCTGACACCAAGCCTGCCCTTCCGCACACGTGCTCTACCCACACAAACAGAGGCTTAGCCTGTTTTCAAGCCTCATACTTAAATGTGAGGAAAGGAGTCAAAGATCCCTAGAAAATTGAAAAGAATCTCCAATACAAAAGTAGGGGGGCTGGGGTTGTGTGGCTCACTGGTAGAGCACTCGGCTAGCATGTGTGAGGCCCTGGGCTCAATTCTCAGCACCACATAAAGATAAATGAATAAAATAAAGTTATCGCGTCCATCTACAACTAAAAATTTAAAAAAAATTTAAAAGAAAGTAGGGACAGCAAAGAAAGGCATACACACACACACACACACAATCAAACACCACCTTGGGTGTGCTATATAATTCAGAAAAGATAAGAAATCTCATTAAAAACTATTATTGATTGATATTGTCAGCAG